ACGTGTTTAAATGTACAAATAGAAATATATGTTAGTTCCAGTAAAAATGCAAGCTCTTTGTGTGTTAGCCTGAGGTGGTAATGCTACGACACGGCGTCTCTGCAGTCATAAACACAGACTGTGTTGCCATGGCTCATATTCTCATGGGAACAGGAGACCAGTGAAGCAGGACCTGAGTGAAAACAACAGCCAAGTACAATAGCTGCCTCTCATTCTCTGCTAGTGCACGTGTCAGTTCAACATCTGTCCAAATACACACAGATCATATTCTGTATTCACAATACACAGCCTAAAAAGTCAATGTATTATATAAAGCCTACACTCTAAAAAATGCTGGGTTAAAAAGGGACAAACCCAGCTATTGGGTTGTTTTGACCCAGCAGTTGGGTTCAAAACAACCCAACCGCTGGGTCAAAACAACCCAATAGCTGGGTTTGTCCCTTTTTAACCCAGAATTTTTTAGAGTGTACTGTATAATAGTTGATGTGCAAATTGAATGAAAACAAAAGACCTGTAGTAATTTGCTTTCTGTCGTCTGATAGTTTATACTTTTTAAGCAAGTTCAAGGCCTATTTAGTATAATTCACTTGTGTTTTTGTGAAATTTTTAATGATTTTTATAAAGTAAACATAAGAGGTACTTTTTTTATTAGTAGTAATATTTCAAGATAAATGTTTTTTTTTTTTACTTGATTACCCATACATCATTTTTAGAAAAATCATGTTCAAATGTGAGTATCACATATCTCTCAATAATCATTTTATTGCACTGCATTGATCATAAAACTAAGCATTTAAATATCATCTTCCTCAGACTTTATTGGAGATATAGTGATAACTGATATTTATATAATTTTATGTAAGTAGTCTGTCATACTGTTATACAGACCTCATTGATTTACATTACATTGATTTAGAATTTCCTCTTACATTTTGACCATTTGAATAACACCTGCTGCACCAAATTTTATATTTTTGCTTCTGAATGAAACTAACGTTTCTTTTTTCCTCTTTCAGTATGAGCCCCATATTCTCACTGTATCATACCATACTGTATGTGCAGTGGTGGATGAAGTACACAAATCAAGTACTTGATAATCTAATAAAATATGACTCCAGTAAAAGTATTAAGTACTCCTTTTCATTTTACTTGAGTAAAAGTACAAAAATATTTTATTTTTAATGTACTTCAGTATTAAAAGTAAAAGTACCAATCAATGAACGTTTATTTTGTATTTTAACTTTTAATATACTTTTATTTTTAATAATTGTACTTAATATATATTTTATATAATCCTACTGCTCAAAACACCTGGGGGAGTGGGACTTGTCATACACTATCAAAACATTTAATATATTAAAATATCAATTTAGGTTACTGATACTTCATGCGTGCAAACAAGTGAAAAAAAAAAACTGCATGTGCCATAAAAAAAAAAACCTGATGTATAAAATATGAAAAAGCAAATATGAAAATTTTCTGATTTCTGAAAGGTTCAATAAACTATTCCATTCCAATAAAATAAAATAAAAATAAAATAAAATAAAATAAAATAAAATTAAATAAAATAAAAT